AGTAATTTCGACACTCTGTGATTAGTGTTATAACCCTAATCTCTCAGGTGTATTTAGAAGCACTCTAGGGTAGCTTCCTGGAAAGCTAATTGTAGGGTGTATTAGTCTGCTATTGCTGCTGTAACAAATTACCACACATTTAGTGGATTAAAAGTTTATTATTTTACGGTTCTGAAATCAGAAGCCTAACATGGGTCCCACTGGGCTGAAATCAGTGTGTCAACAGTGCCGTGGTCCTTTCTGAAGGCTCCGGGGGAGAATCTGTTTCCTTGCCTTTTCCAGTTTCTAGAAGCTGTTCACATTCCTTGGCTCAGGACCTCAACCCTCCGACTTAAAAGCCTGCAGTGTTGCATCTCTCTTATCATTCTTCCATTACCACATTGCCCTCTGACTTCAGCTGGGGAACATCTTCTGCTTTTACGAACCAGTGTGATTAGATTGGGCTCACCTGGGTAGTTTATCCAGGCTAATCTCCCCATCTCACAGTCTTTAACTAAATCCCATCTGCACAATCCCCTTGCCAGGTAAGATAACATATTTACACGTTCCAGGGATTGGGAAGCAGACATTTCCTCCTTGGGGGCGGAGGGGGGGCATTATTCTGCCTACCATGAAGAAAGACAGCCACATAAAGGGAAGGGCAACAGAGGTGGGGTTTGGGGGGGCGGGGAGGAGGCTCTTTCCAAGCAGTAGGAAGAGCTTGTAGAATGACCCCTAGGTAGGAATTGTATGTATTCCAGAAACAACCTGAAGTTTGCATTGGAATGAGGGAGGGAGTTATTCATTCAACCCACATTTATTAAATGCCCTCTATATGGTGGGTGCTGTTTTGAGGATACAAGGATGAACAAGACAAAGTCTCTGTCCTCTGAGGCTAGAGTGAAAAGCAAGGGCCAGATTATGAGAGGCCTTGTTGACTTTCTTAAAGAGTTTGAGTTTCATCCAAGAGCTATATGGAGTCATCCATTCATTCATCTGACAAATTTTATTGAGCACACGTTACGTGCCAGGCATGTTCCAGGCTCTGGGAATACAGAAGTCTAAAAACTAAAGAAAAAAAAAACCTAAAGAAACCCTGCCCTTACAGAGCTTCAGTGCTAGTTGATGTTAATTAAACAAGGGAAGCAGATGTCTGCTTTAGAAAGATCATTCTGGCTGGGGTGTTGGGGAAGAGACTGGAGGGGAGGGAGCAAGACTAGAGGTTGCTAGACCCCTTGACTCCCTTCCTCAAGATTCACAGCCTTTCTCCAGCTTCATGCCCCTCATTGGACCCCTCCTCTTTTGTCAGGAACCTCTTTCCCCTTTATCCTCCAACTGTACCTATTTTGCAACACCCCACCCCCAGCCCTGATTCAACATTCTACACCTGGGCTTCCCAGCGCTGCAGAAGAAAATAAGGAAAATGTTAGTATCACCTCCACTACATATCAGAATATCTGATTCCAGCCACATCCTCGACTCTGCTGACAATTCCATTTCTCTCTCTAAGAAGCTACCATTCTCATTCCTTTTGGTGGCTATTTTAACCTTACCCACTTTCCTTAAGTCCTCAAGCCAACTTGACCCCTTCTCTTTCAAGAGATTGCTTACAGACCATCAGGTAGCAACCAGTTAACTCCTAACCTCTAGGTTTACCAATCTACACAAGTATCTGCTCCGCTCCTTGCCCTGTCTCACAGATATCCCAGGCAACCCCTGTCCCTCCCGCCATTTCCTCTGGGATGGTTTTCATTAATCATCTCTCTATCTCCTTGGTCTTTCCCCTCAACATTTGAGCATGTTTAAGCTCTTCCCATTTGAAAAAGGAAAGCCATAACAAAAATCCTCCCCTCCATCCTGCACTCCTCACCCCCATCCACTGCCTTATATTTCTCCTTTCCATTAATTGCCAGGCTTCTCGAAAGAAGCTCCAATGTCTTCATGTGTCTCTTTTATTCCTTAAGCCACTGGAGCCTGTGGGTTTAACTGTGACTGTTCTCACACCACTGGTCCCAGTGGGTTTAACTGTGACTGTTCTCACACCACTGGTCCCAGTGACTCTCCTGCCAATCCAAAGGGCACTTTCCAGGCCTGCCCTCCTGGCTCTCCCTGCCACACTTTCCGGTCACTTTCCTGACACTTCCTCCCACCCTCCTTTCTGATACTCTGTGGTCGCAGGTTTTCCCTACCAACTTGGTTGTTTCTTCTCAACTTCTTTGGCAGGGGTCTTCCTCTGTATGTGCCCACCTGGGTAATCTCACGCATGCCCACAGCTTCACTGACCATCCATGATCTGAAGAGTCCAAAATTGCCCTTACTTGTCCACACCTCTGCTCTGACTTTAGTTTCTAGACATCCTCACCTAAACATTCCACAGCTACCTCAAACCCAACATGTCAAAATGAAACTCATGTTTGCTCCCCCAACACCTGGGCCCTGTCTTACTATAGTCCCCCCACTTGGTGCATGGCATGACTTGCCACTAATTCCTAAGGCATCAAATGGACAGTGATTCTAGATCCCTCCTCCAGCTGCCTACATTCAATATATTATCAAATATTATTGATTTGACTTCCTAACCATTGCTTGTATCTGTCCTTTCCTTTTTATCCCCACGGCCACAGCCCTGGCCGGGTTTTGAGATTCTCTGATCTTGCACTCTGAATGTAGCCGTGGCCTCCGTGAGCTCTCGGCCTGTACTCCTAACGTGGCAGGAAGCAAATGATACACTCCAATTTGAAGAGACAATTTACAAAGGGTCAGCAGGGTAAAGGAAAGCTGTGTGTGGTGTGAGAACAGTCACAGTTAAACCCAGAGGCTCCAGTGGCTTAAGGAATAAAAGAGACACATGAAGATATTGGAGCTTCTTTCTAGAAGCTTGGCAATTAATGGAAAGGAGAAATATAAGGCAGTGGATGCGGGTGAGGAGTGTAGGATAGAATAGTGTGCAGCACATTGGGGCCAGCAGGAAATCAAGTTTCCACTCCCAGGCCTGAGAAGGTAATTGAGATATCTGAATTGAGAAAGTTGGGGGTGGGGGCGGGGAGAGGGAACCACCCAGAGGGAGCTGTGAACTTTGGTTGAGGGTGGCAGCCAGCCCACAGGGACTCCAAAAAGAGGGAAATCCTGAGAAGCGAATATCCAGATCTATTCAACCTCCTTCCTTCCAATCTTCTGCCAGGGCTCCCAGTGGCCACCCTCTGCTAGGAAGCTGGATGGCCAACACTGAGTCTGCAGGGACAATGGGAAGACACAGAGTGCATCTTCCAAATCCTCCTGTGTAATATGCCAGGAGGTTTTTCTGATCATATCACTCCCAGCTCCACTTGTCTACACCCTGAGTTCTCTGTCACCCGCGGAACAAAATCTAAACTTCTTGGCATGCCCTGGTTTCTCTTATAAGAAAATTTTTTCTCCCTACCAAAGTGCATTGTAGAGCCTTTGATAAGATGTTCAACCAAGTGACCCAGGCTTATCTCCTGTTAGCTCTCCACTTGGGAAATTTTCACTCCGGCAAGAGACATACTGATGGCCCCTAGGCCACTCTGTTCTCTCAGGCCTCTGAGCTTAGCCTGATGACAGGCACACCGTAAGGGTCACACATATTTGCACTGTGAACAAGTGGTGAATGAGTGAGTGAATGAATGTGTGTTTTTATCCCCTGTGGCTCTCGAGGATTAGGAGCTGATATTATCACTGATGCTCAGAGGGTGGACTACCCAAGGTCACATGGCAGAGGGTAGAGAGGAGAAACACAGGCTTGGGTCTCCCCTCTCCTCCCTGTGGTCTCACTCAGGGTTGCCTGCAATTAGGGGTCCTTCGCATTTGCTCAGATTTCATCTTATATGAGAACAAAACAATATCCCAAGAAATCTTTCTCAATCAGGAACTCGCTCTTTATATTGCTTTGTCCCCCTGTAGGACTTCTTCTGGTTAGTCAAATTCCCTTCCTAATAAATATCCTCTTACTGAACTTTGGAGTCTCTTCAAATTCTATAATTTTATGAATCTAGGAATTGTGTTGGCTTTTCTCACAGTTTTGTATTACTAAGGAAATTTTAGAGGCCCGATATCTTATTAAAAAGTCTTTCTGACTTTTTTTTTAAACTCTAGTAAACCCTAAACAGACTGAAATAGTAGCATTTTAACAAATATTTCCTTGAGACCAGGAAAGGGGTAGATTGGCAGACGTTTCCATGGGAACCCTGGCTGGGGAGTCCCAGGCTTCTGAAGGAGGCTGGGAGCCTGGAGACCCTGATACCTGAAGGGGAACTGCAGGGGAGGGAGGCTGGGAACCAGGTGTTGATCCTCACAGACCGGCCAGAAAGGAAGGAGGGCCCTGGGGGAGAACAAATTCAAGTTTTGAGGAAATTGTACTTTGAGATCAGAGATCTTAGTTACTAGGCAAAGCAAATGCAAATGAGGAGCTGGCCAATTCTTGGTTGTTCTTTTTTTGCGGTGGGCGGGAGTCTTTAGGAAAATTCTTCTAGAGACCACTGCTCAAAAGAAAGCACGTGGAGTCAAAATCTTAAACATAACCAACTGAATGAACGAAGTGGGTTTTTTCCCTACCATGGTTGGGTTGGAGGACCCTCTCCCACCCCTCCCCCTCAGGATTGCTATTCTCTGGGGTTCAGGTCGGACGAGGCACTCGGGCGGACAGAAACACTTACACGGCTGATTGCTCAACCCCGAGCCAGCTTCCCCCCTACCCCCACCTCCGCCCTCAAGGTAGGGGCTTTTGCAGGCGTCGCAATCCTAGTAACGCAGGGGGGAAGTCCTCGAACCCTCAGTGGGTCCTTTTCAGCAGAGCGACCTGGCATTCATCTGACACGGAGCAAAGGGGTCCCCGCAGGGAAAAGTAACGACCATCTGCAGAAACCTCACCCAAGTGGGAAGCGGCAGCGCCGTCTGCAGTCCCCGAGCACAATCGGACGCCCGCGCGCCGCTCTCCCCCGCGGCCCCGCCGGGAGGGAGGGAGCGAGTGGCGGCGGAGGGAGGGAGGGAGGGAGGGAGCGCGGGGACAACCGCCCGGCTGGCGCGGAGCGGGGTGGTACGCCTGTGAGGTGTCCTCGACCTGACCCAGCGGCTGCGGTCCCCCGCGATGCCGAGGCCACAGGCGGGCAGCTCGCCTCTCTGAGCCGGTCTCAACGCGGAGGGCACAGAGGGAGGCAGGCCATGGCGGAGTCCTCCGAGCCCGGGCGGCTGGCGTCGGCGGACGGCGGCGGGAGCCTGGAAGAGGAGGACGACGAGGAGCGGGAACCACTGCTGCCTCGGATCGCCTGGGCCCAGCCACCTAAGGGCGCCCCGGGGAGCGCCGTCAGGCTCGTGGAGGCTGCGGGCGAGGAGAGCGCGGCCTCCCCTCGCGAGGCTGGAGACAAGGAACTGCTGCTCCCGTCCTGGGACGCGCCCAGCGGGCCCTCCGGGAGCGTGAGTGGCTTCCGGAGCTCGCCCACCCGCCCAAAACGGAAACGCCCCCGAGGTGCAGGTGCGACCCGGCCCTTACCACCACCCCGCAGTCCTCCACGCGCGCGCGTTGCCGTCGCCGCCCAGCCCCTCCGGGGTCCCATCTCTGTCCCACACCAGCACTTGCCTGGGAGGAAAGGCAGCCAGCCAGGCGACCCTCCCCTCCAGAGCACCGGCCAGGGGGCGCGTCGCCGGTCGAACCTCGGAGCCCTTGCCTTTCTCTCTGCTCCCCCGTTTCCTCGCACCTTTTCCAGGGGGCACTGGCCACGTCACTTAAGGCCTGTGGTTGTCACGGAACTGATCCTTGGGGCCTCCCCTAAGAGTAAGCCTAAACTTTTGAAATCAGACCCTGAGAAAAACTTAGCACGATAAAATGACGTAAGTTGTTTGCTCAAGTTTGGACTTGAGGTTTGGATTAAGAACCCTGAACTATCAGGAAGGTTCCCCGGGTTGTGAATTTGCAAGGCAGATGGATGACAGCAGAGAGATGCACAGCAAGAATATCTAGGTGCCGTTGGGACGCGTTTTCAAAACTTTTTCTGGTTAGTGTTATTGTGACGTTAGCCAGAGGGGGCAGAGGCAGTTGAATTTCTCTAGCTGCCAACTCTCTTGCAAAGTTTTCTTTCTTGAGTCATTTCTATTCTTATACTATAAGAGGTGGACTGGTAGCCTCAGGTGGAAAAGAGGGTAATTGATATGATATGATGTTGAAAACTAGTAAAAGTGTAGGCATGCTCTTGCAAGCGTGGGTGTTTGTTGATAAAGTAAGTTTTTTGGCAAGTTGAGTTGAGGTAGGCTACTTTGATAGTAAAATAGGGTGGAATTGTATGAATCCTAGCTGGAGATGAGACGGGCTAGTCTGTAAACTTATGATAACATCTGTTTGTTGGTGGTTGGGATGGTTTAAGGGAGATGGTGTGTGCACTGTGCCTGTAGTAGAAGTCCATATGTGATGGCTTAAAGAAAAGCCACAGACAGTGTCACTTTAATTAATGCTGCTTAGTTTTCCTGGAGTTTTTAGATTGTACATGTCCTGCTACCAGTACAGTAATGGAGCTCCTACAATTTAAGGAATTTGGGATAGAATAGATTATTCAAGTTGTAGTTGAACTTACATTCAAACATCCTCTCAGGCAGGTAAATCGAAGAGGCCCCAGAGAACCAAACTTTCCCCTTCAAGTGTTTCATGAATAAAGCTTTAGCAGACTGGTCTGACATGCATTATGCCATTATGTTAGCTAACAGGTGCATGGACAGTACAACATTGAACAGAACAAACATGATGATCACAAATGGACCCACATTCACCTAGCTGCGTAATTTGTTTCTGTATTACCTAGAATCGCTTCTGTGAAGTAACTAAGATCTGTGTGGCTAGCTTGCTTTTTTCTACCCTCAAGTTACCTGTGTAGCTAGATTTTAAAAGACCCTAAAACCTTGAGTGTGTTTATTCTGTGAAAGTGAGGTTTTGTAAAAAAAAAAAAAAAAAAAAGTATTAAGGCTAGAAAAAGTAACAGTGGAATAGAATATAGTACTCAGAATACAAATGGGTTACTAAAGAGAATTCCTCCCTTTTTAAGTGGTAATAATTTATTTGTATCACAGTTTACAGTTTGTTAAGATCTCTTTTTGTATAGTTCATTAATTCTCACAGCAACACAACAGGTTGTTACTCACCCTCATCCATGTTGTGAGGATTGAAAATGAATAAAACTGTAATGACTAGTCGGTCATAGAACTTCTGCGGTGAGCCAAAGTCAAGTATACAGGAAGTGATAAAGCCAGAACTGAGCCTAGTTCTTCTTTTTATGTCCTGTACTTTTCCATTTTGCTGTAGATCCCAAGTATTATAAAATAACTGTTACTTGTGGTTACTAATGGATTTAAAATGGATTTTTAATGGATTTAAAAATAGTTTTTTGTTTTTTTTTTTTAAGATTTTATTTATTTATTTGAGAGAGAGAATGAGATAGAGAGAGCATGAGAGGGGG